GCTGGAACACGCATGGCTAAGTGACTGGCATACCCTTTCTCCACTTGGGTCTCACCCTGGCCATTACCACACCTCGGTGGTTGCTCTTCCTAAAACCTTCCAGCAGGAAGGATTCCTCACCGTCGTTTTTATGAGCTACTTCGTGTTTATTTTTAATTTTTTTAACGTTTACTCATTTTTGAGAGACAGAGAGAGATAGAGTGCGAGTGTGGGAAGGGCAGAGAGAGAGGGAGACACAGAATCGGAAGCAGGCTCCAGGCTCTGAGCTGTCAGCACACAGCCCGACGTGGGGCTCGAACCCACGAACCACAATATTGTGACCTGAGACGAAATTGGATGCTCAACCTACTGAGCCACCCAGGCGCTCCATGGGCTATTTTTTTAAATGTTTATTTTGAGAGAGAGAGAGAGAGCACATGTGAGCAGGTGAGGAACAGAGAGAGAGGGAGAGAGAGAATCTCAAGCAGGGTCCTCACTGGCAGCGCAGAGCCCCACATGGGGCTCGATCTCACTAACCATGAGATCGTGACCTGAGCCAAGATCAAGAGTCAGATGCTTAGCCGATCGAGCCACCCAGGCATCCCATGTGCTATTTCTAAGTGGGATGACCACGTCTTAACTGTCTACACTGGCACACTGCCACAAGGGAGCTCAATTAATAATTGCGTTCATACGCAATTGTCCTGTTAGAGCAGGACAATGGTCACCCTACCTGCAGATGGTTTGAACGTAGCGGTCACGGACGCAGAGCCCCAGCGCACCCCAGGTGACACAAAACACGAACAATTAACAGCTCATTGTAGAAAGCCACTGAGGTCTGCCGGTTATTTGTTATCACAACACAGCGTGGTGGACGCTGACAAATACGACCCCTCAGAACTGTGTGGCCCCATTAGCACCGCTGTGAAATGGGGGCAACGCAACAGTACGCTCATCCGCAGGCGGTCGCAGGGGTTAGATGAGCTGATGGAGGGCACAGTGAATGGTGCACCAATGTTAGCCGGAATAACGTGGAAGATAAAAAAAAACACTCAAGATGGGGCACCTGGGTGGCTTAGTCGGTTAAGCGTCTGACTTTCGCTTAGGTCATGATCTCGCGGTTCGTGGGTTCGAGCCCCGCGTCGGGCTCTGTGCTGACTGCCGGCTCAGAGCCTGGAGCCTGTTTCAGTCTGTGACTCCCTCTCTCTCTGACCCTCCCCTGCTCACGCTGTCTCTCTCTCTCTCTCCTAGAAATAAAAAAAAAAAAAAAAAAAACACTCAAGAACACCGTGAAGTCCAAGATCAAGCACACAGGGTTACTACTCAGACACCTGCTCCCACCACACTCATGCTGCCCTGTAGAGGTCCGGGGGCCCCGGCCCCTTTGTCTCAGTCTGTTAGCTGCCCCCGTACCTCTGCCGAGCACGGGGACGCCACAGACCATCACTGTACCTGCTTTCCCGTGTAGTCCCCAGCTCTCTCACCCTTTGGTTTCTTCCATCTCAGATGACAAGGCCTTAACCCTGAATCAAGAGAGCAACCCACCGTTTTTGCCCCTGAGCCCAAATCACTGGCCAAAATCCTCCAGTATTTCCTGAAAAAACTTACGTGGGCTCTTTCTAACCCAAGCTCATAACCTACTCCCTTTTTCCTCATTCAGGAATGAAACAGGGGCGCCTGGGTGGCTCAGTCGGTTAAGCGTCCGACTTCAGCTCAGGTCACAATCTTGTGGTTCTTGGGTTTAAGCCCCACGTCGGGCTCTGTGCTGACAGCTCGGAGCCTGGAGCCTGCTTCAGAGTCTGTCTCCCTCTCTCTCTGCCCCTCACGGGCATCTGTCTCTCTCAAAAATAAGCAAAACAATTAAAAAAAAAAAGGAATGAATCAGAAGCCATTAGGTAGGAACCACATATGTGGGTTCACTGTTCTAACCCACCCAGAACAATCCTTTTCTTTTTTGCTCTGGAATCCGGACCCTCCTACTTCCTGAGGATCTTTGACTTCTCTGCTGGCCCTCAGCCCTTTGAGTGCACATGTGCCGCACATGTCCCCTCTTCTGAAATCACCCCTCAACCTACTCTCCCCCCCCCCGCCCTCACGCCCCACTTGCTCGCAGCTCTCGGGTCCCCAGTCTACTGGAAGCTGCCCTGTCACTTCACCAAATCTGCTCCTGCAAAGGCCATTCGCGGACACTGTTGCTACAACTCGTGGACATTTGTGATCTTTCTTTTTTCCAGCTTATTTATTTATTTTGAGAGAGAGAGAGAGAGAACCAGCAGGGGAGGGGCAGAGAGGGGGGGCACAGAGGATCTGAAGCAGGCCCTCTGCTGACAGCAGGGAGCCCGATGCGGGGCTCGAACTCACGAACCGTGACCTCCTGAGCTGAGCCGAAGTCAGAGCTCAAGAGGCTGAGCCACTCAGGCGCCCCTACATTCTCCATCTGTAATCTCCCTGCCCTCGCTATGTCTTGGCTTCTCCACGCGACCCCCTCCCACTTGGCTTCCAGATGCTTCTCTCCCACTATCCACCCCCAGGTGTCTCCTTCCCAGTCTCTCGCGGGGCCCTCCTCCCCTGCCCTGTCTTAATTGCTGACGTTCCCCATGGGCTGCCTGACCTTCTTTTTCCTTTCTACTTTTCTACTTTCTCTCTTAACTATTACTTACATGCTGAGGGCTCCGAAATCCAAGTCTCTTGCCAGATCTTTCTCCTACTGATTCAACTGGTCGTTCGATGTCCCACTGGGTGTCTCCTCCCTCACTCCTCCACCCTGGACGTCCACCGCCAAACTCGCCATTTCGCCCACCAATCCTGACTCGCTTCTACGATCTGCCCACCATGCGAGCCAGAAACCGGGGACCCCCCACCCGACTTTTCCCAGCCTACGTCCTCTTCACCAACCACAGGGCTCACCAGCTGCCCCCCCCCCGCTTCCTTCTAGTCTCTACTCCTCAGGATCTACTTCCCCTGCTACTTACAAATGCTCTTTCTCGACGATCTTCAGAAAAAGTCTAAATTCCAACCCTAAAACCCTGACTGCACACCTAACCCGACGTCCTTAACGATGCAGTCCGTCTACTGGCTCAGCTTCATCTCGCATCACATTCCCCCAGTCCACACGCCAAACACTCCACGACCTTCAGTTCCCAGATTGCCCCAGGCTTCATGGCACCCCCAGGGTTTCTGTACCCACTGGTCCCCCGCGGAAATGCCCCATGTCCCACCACCAGCTCAGTCACCTATTTGTCTTTACCATGGGTGTGTTCTGTTCTGGGGTGCCTTCTCTGCTTGCAAGACCCTCCCCTCTCCTGGAAACCCATCCGCCAGGCTGAGTGAGCTGCCCCTCTTATGCATTTGCACAGCACCCTGAATGTGCCCCCGCCTGAAAGGTGGTTGTTGACTGACTTGCAGATCTCCTTCACTAAACAGTGACCTCGATTAGTTAGGGACAGAGCCACCTTGTGACTCTAGTTCCTAACACGCCATCTAAGAGTACTCAGTGAATGTTTCAGGAATGAATAGACAAATAGCGACAAATGGTTTCTTGGGTAGCAGCCCCCTCGCTTGCATGCTTGGGAGGAAGAATCATGAGCAACATCAAATGCTGATGAACATTTGAGTGAAGCATCTTTAAATAGAAATCGCTGTGGGGGCGGCTGGGTGGGTCAGCTGGTTGAGCATACAACTTCCGCTCAGGTCATGATCTCATGGTTCATGGGTTCAAGCCCCACATCAGGCTCTCTGCTGTCAGAGCAGAGCCCACTTTGGATTCTCTGTCTCCCTCTCTCTGCCCCTCCCCCGCTTGTGCTCTCTCTCTAAAATAAATTTAAAAACAGTAATTAAAAAATAAAAAATAGGGGCGACTGGGTGGCTCAGTTGGTTAAGCGTCCAACTTCAGCTCAGGTCATGATCACACAGTTTGTGAGATCGAGCCCCGCGTCGGGCTCTATGCTGACAGCTCAGAGCCTGGAGCCTACTTCGGATTCTGTGTCTCCCTCTCTCTCTGCCCCTCCCCCACTCATGCTCTGTCTCTCTCTCTCTCTCTCTCTCTCTCTCAAAAACAAACAAACAAATAAAGAAAAATAGGGTGCCTGGGTGGTTCAGTCGGTTAAGCATATGACTTTGGCTCAGGTCATCATCTCATGGTTCGTGGATTTGAGCCCTGAGTCAGGCTCTAGCGGACAGCTCAGAGCCTGGAGCCTGTTTCAAATTCTGTATCTCCGTTTCTCTGACTCTCCCCAACTTACACACACACACACTCTCTCTCTCTCACTCTCTCTCTTAAAAATAAACATTAAAAAATAATAAAAATTAAAAAAATAAAAAAATACCTAGAGATTACTGTGTGTGTGTGCATGCACCAGAAAGAACAGACAGGTTATGGGAGATTATTCATTTTCCTTTACCTTATTTCCGCCTTTGCTTGTAAATTCCCGGGTCTTTCTCCATCATGATTTCTTGTGTTCAGATAACTTCATTCTGCTCTGTCAACAGCTGAACTTCCTGCACACCACAGAATTTCTCAATATTCTCACTCAGCATTCAGGACAATACTCACACAGCAGCTGTTGTGAATTGGTAAGAATTCTAAAGACCAGAAGAGAATTGCCACTTCCTTGCATGATCAATTTCCCTTCAGTCTTCTTTTTTTTTTTATTTTTTTACATTTATTCATTTTTGAGAGACAGAGATAGAGTGTGATGGGATGGAGAGAGAGAAAGAGACACACATACAGAATCAGAAGCAGGCTGCAGGCTCTGAGCTGTCAGCACAGAGCCCGACATGGGGCTCAAACTCATGAACCGCAACATCATGACCTGAGCCGAGGTCGGATGCTTAACCGACTCAGCCCCCCAGGCGCTGCTCCATTCAGTCTTCTCCTCTCTAGATTCAATGACCTCAACTCCTTTAATTGGGTCAGTAACATGCTGGATGAGCAAATTTAAATTTTTACACTAAGTTACTATCATCTCAAAGGAGACTTGTAATTGACCCTCATAAGGAATTAATTATCAGTTTTTATTTCAATAACTCCCCTTCCATGTTCACATGCTGCAGCTTTAGTTGTTCATGGCTTTCCCCACACTGCTACTCACTTTCAGTTTGTGGTCATTCTGCCCATCCCAAGATCTTTCTACCCTAAACCTGGGGTCATTCTGGTCATTCTTCATTTTGTCAGCTTCATTAATCTGGATGTTCCCTGAGTTTTATTGCAAGAAATTAACAACAATCCATGGATAATGTTAAAACGTTTTAAGAATAAGCTTTAAAATAATTAGCGATCTGTCATTCCATAAGTCTAGACCATACCAAACAAATCTGTGTTTTACACCATTATGGTCATCTTTAAAAAAGAAAGTATCTTGACATAGTTGTTACTAGGCGTTATAAGAGAACGGATGCAGGAATTATAAGAGAACATGCAAAATTCACAAGGACAAGCCGTTTTTAACATCATCCTTTCAATTAGAAATCAAGTCTTCAAGGCACTTAACTTTCATCTATCACCATCATTGTTATATAGTCCTTGTAATGAATTGAATTCGATTCTGGATCAATTGCAGCAGACAACATTTCTTCCATTTCCTCCTGAGAGAAAGGCTCACCTGGGAAGGACAAGAAGGGAAATTCACTGTTGACAATCTTCTGATCTTTTCCCTTCTCTTTCTGACCAGCTTAATTGCCATGGACCCCCACCCCCCAGACCCACACTGTGTCACCGGTTCCTCTCCCTGGGGACGCAGAGTCAGCACATCATGACCAACCGTCCAGACACTCAAAGAGCTGGCAGACTCTGGACTCATTCTCCCTTGCAGACATCCTAGTTCAAGTGAACTATAAAATCGAGCACTCCAGCCAAAACAGCAGGAGAACATTAAGACGTCCTAAATAAGGTTGCTTCTTTATTTCAATTAAAACTATTGGAATCGCCTAAGGGCTCACCCGAAGGCCATGTTTCTATGGAGTCTAACCTTTATATTTAGCAAGGGTGTGAGGTAGGGATTAAATGGTCATGATGCAAAACTACTGAGGAGCAGATGATAGAGACTTGAAGTCTCTGAATCCTTCGCGACGCCGGCCAAGCCCACGGACAGGTGCCGCTCATCCTCCGAGACAAAACGGTCCTCTCTGGTACAGTTTGGCCCAGCGTTGCTGTTGTATGAAATCAAAGTTGCACAGAAAATCTCTGCATTTTGCTGGATGCAGGTAACAGCTGAGGGTCATCTTGGACACTGACTGCAGCAGGATGAGAAGCTACTCAGGAGGAATGTCGGAAAGGTTGCCAACTGCTTAAGAAGGAACTTTGCCCTGATATTAAGCAAAAATACAGACATGTCCAAATCGCCACCTTCCCCAAAGAGTTGCCTCCGAGCCGGTGAGATCCCTTAGCTTCTAAGCTTGTCATGTGCGACGACAAGCAATGTTTTCCAGGTTGGAATTCAGCTAAAACTACAGAGATTATTCAGGTGGGCTTCGTGAGGACAATGATAACGGATTATCAAACAAGGGGAAGGTATCGAGTTCTCGAAACCGTACTTACATCCTAAGAAAAGAGAAAATATGCCTACAAATATGCCATTTCTTATGCCTTTCTTATATCTGATGAAATGGTAAATCCGGTGCCCATGAACTCTCCTTCAGAGAGCACTGGTAACAACCATGTGTTGAGATTTGCAGGAAGTCACCCTCCCCACTTACGGAAGAGGAATCAGCACAGAGACATGAAGCCACCGGCCCCGCAGGTGAGTGGCAGAGCTGGGATCTGGATGCCGTCGTCCAGCTCAAGGTCCGTGAATTCGAGGACCACACATGACCACTCAGTGACACTGCTTCCGTGGGCACGGAAGGACATACGCAGTATTTGATTAAGGATGGGAATGGAATGGGGCGCCTGGGTGGCTCAGTCGGTTAAGCGTCTGGCTTTGGCTCAGGTCATGATCTTGCGGTTTGTGGGTTTGAGCCCCGCATCAGGCTCTGTGCTGACAGCCAGCTCAGAGCCTGGAGCCTGCTTCAGATTCTGTGTCTCCTTCTCTCTTTGAACCTCCCCTGCTCATGGGTCTCTCTCTCTCTCTCTCTCCCAGAAATAAATAAAACATTAAAAAAAAAAAAAAAAAAGGATGGGAACAGAATAGCTTAATGATCAAAAGCACAAACTTGGGGGCACCTGGGAGGCTCAGTCGGTTAAGCATCTGACTCTTGATTTCAGTTCAGTTATGATCTCATGGTTCATGAGATCCAGCCCCACATAAGACTCTATGCTGGTAGTGTGTGGCCTGCTTGGGAGTCTCTCTCTCTTTCTCTCTCTCTCTCAAAATAAATAAACATTTAAAAAAACCACAATCTTGGGAGGCAGACTACCTGGGTTCAAATGCTAAGCTGTCTCAATTAGCTTTAAGATCCTGGGCAAATCACTTCAGCTCTCTGTGCCTCAGTTTTCCTGCCTGTGAAATGGAGCTGATAATCGCAGCATCTATCTAACATGGTTGTTAGGAGGGTTAAACGTGCTATTAGCTAAATAACACTTAGAACATTGCCTGGCACACGGGTGGTAACACATATTAGCTTAAACACAGTCGTGGGGACCTTCCCTGCTGCTAAACACTTCCTGACACCGTCACATGCCCGCACATCTTGCGGGAACTGGATTCACTGTGCTGTAACATGTGGTTTATCCTGGGCGGTCGGAATGGGTTCCCAGTCTGACTAACCATCCGTACGTGTTGTCTCTGCCTCCTGCTGTCACTCATCAAGACCCACGGATCCTACACTGTAAACAGGCCCTCTGTACCCAGCTCTCCTTTTTCAGTTTATTTATTTTTGAGAGAGAGCGCACGCACACACGTGACTGGGGGAGGGGCAGAGAGGGGACACAGAAGATCCGAAGCTGGCTCTGCAATGACAGCACAGAGTCCGACGCAGGGCTCGCCCTCATGAACCCTGAGATCATGACCCAAGCGGAAGCCAGGAGCTTAACCGACTGAGCCCCCCGGGGGGCTGCTGTACCTGTCTCTCCTTTCCATCTCCCCTGCTAGCACTGGCCTGACGTGGCTGGGGGCCTGTACAAAGCCACGGCAGCCTCCTGACTGGTCTTGTACTCCAATAAACCACCAGTACCAGACTGACCTTCCAACGACCCCTCCTGCACTGGGGGGCCCATCCACTCAACACCCCGCGATGCTCCCGTGGGGCCCACAGGGTGAGGCCCAGCCCCCAAGCCCAGCCCTGGCAGGCTGGCCCCCAGATCTACCTGGATTTGTCTCCTGTTTGCTGGCAAGATCCCCAGGGGCTCTCCACTCAGGGTCCGTGATACAGCGGTTCCAATGCCCGCTTTCCACCTCCCCACCTCCGTTCGCACGATGTAATCAATACCTGTCTCTCTCCACCGGGCCCCTTCACGAATCCTTCCTTCATCTGCTCATTCGTTTATTCATTCAACTCACATTTGTTGAGACTTACAGTGGTCGGGGACGGGGGCTATAGCACGTAAGATTTTACTCTTGCTCTCAGGGCACCTAGGGGGCTGTCTGTTGAGCACCTAACTTTGGCTCAGGTCATGATCTCCCAGTTTGTGAGTTTGAGCCCCGTGTTGGGCTCTGTGCTGACAGCTCAGAGCCTGGATCCTGCTTCAGATTCTGACTCTCTCTCTCTCTCTCTCTGCCCCTTCCCCCGCTCATACTCTGTCTCTCTCTCTCTCTCTAAAAAATAAATATTAAAAAAATTCTTTTTTGTTGTTGTTTTTTTTGTTTGTTTGTTTGTTTTATTTATTTCTAGGAGAGAGAGACAGTGTGAGCAGGGGAGAGTCAGAGAGAGAGGGAGACACAGACTCTGAAACAGACTCCAGGCTCTGAGCTGGCAGTCAGCACAGAGCCTGACGCGGGGCTTGAACCCACGAACCGCGAGACCATGACCTACGCGAAAGTCGGACGCTTAACTGACTAAGCCACCCAGGCGCCCCAAAAAAATTCTTAATAAAAATAAAGCATCCTCTAAAATTTTTCCATAATTGTTGTTAAGTTATGAATCGCTTCAATTAGTCACAGTTATAAAGGAAGTCATAAATCACTCTTACCTTCTTCAGTCATATATTTGATCAGTTCTTCCTTCGAAAGAAACCCACGTTTAAATGGATCTAATACCTATGAGAAAATAAAAGGTAGATATTATATTTTGGGTTTGGTGAATAAATTCTACATGATGAATTTTTCGCATAAATATATATAAAATCCGGAGTTTACACACCTCAAACGCTCGAAGAAGGACATCTTCTGGAATTGGTCTGTATCTAAGGACACAGTAAAGGGAGCAAATGTCACAGTATTTAGCTCAGTCTCTATACAACAAATGATCACATAAAACAAAATAAAAGCTGCTAATATACAAGGATAATAGTACTCCCCTCCCTGAAACAGCTTTGGATTTCTAGAGATGAAAGTTGAAAGCACTTCACACCCACAGAAAATATTTGGTTCAAAAATCACATGATGTTATCTATTCACCTTTATCATCGTGATGAAAATCTACTTATTGGGAAATAAAATGTCTACGATAAACCTACTGTGGTAAGCTAACGCTACATGGTCTTTAGAAAAAATAATTAGGGCTCATTGTCAGAGATGATTCAAAATAGATGACAATAAATATGCTGTTGATTTCTGCTTTGGGTGGCCTTTTCCCTCTGTAATTACACTTTGATGGTCAGATGAATACAAACATGGTTGATATTTCTAAGCACATGCCAAATGGCAGTTCAGAATTACAGTGACTGGGGTGCCCACGTGGCTCAGTCAATTAAGCATCCAACTCTTCGTTTTGGCTCATGTCATGATCTCACGGTTCGTGAGTTCGAGGCCCACACTGGGCTCCATGCTGTCAGTGTGGAGCTTGCCTGGGATTCTCTCTCCCTCCCGCTCTCTCTGGTCCTCCCCTGCTTGTTCTCTCTCTCTCCCTCTCCTTCTCTCTCTCTCTTAAAATAAATAAACTTTAAAAATTTTAAAACAAAAGTATAGTGAAAAGTCAGAAGGATGCTATCCCAGGATAAATACTGGTTAGCTGAGTAGAATATACAAAGTGAAAAGGCCAAGTGTTTGTAAATTAAGATAATCCTAATCATCACCTTCACAACTGCAGGCACCTTCTTACCTTCTTTCCAATAGTACTTCAGTCATCACTGGAAGAAATTTTTCAAATCGAATGTATCCGGTGGGTTCTTCTTCCTCTACCTAAACATTCCACACAAAATAGCCACATGTTACTTCAGCAAGTGTACTGAGCAACTCCTTTCCCAAGCACTGTGCCAAGGGCTAGGGATTTGATAGTGAGCATACCTGGATCACTCATGAGGAAATCATACTGGAGCTTAATTATAAAGGGTGAGTAGGAGGTACTTAGACAAAGCCGGCAGAGACGAGACTCCAGGCAGAGGAAATGGGGTGCACAAAGACCCCATGGAAGCCAGGAGGCTGGAGGAGGGATGTTAGGGAGCAAGATGGAGAATTTTCCAGATGAAGCTGGAGGGAGAGACAGAAACCAGAACTTGCTGGGTCTTATCGTCCATGAAAGTGACTTTGGCTGTCATCCTAAGACCAAGATCCCTGAGGTCTGGTAGATGTGTGTGATGATCACACTGGTTGTGGGCAAAGTGGCTTCTGCCGTGGGCTCAGCAGCCTTGACAGAGCGTGGATTAGAGCGGTGGCCATGGCAAAGAAGTGGATGCTTCAAGAACCATTTAAGAAGTAAAAACAGTAGGATGGAGCTGCATCTATTATGGGCAAAGATGAGACCCAAGAGAAGAGTCGAGGACTCTGACTTGCAGAAATGGGATGGCATGATGCTCTTCCCTGTGATAAGGAGAAGGGCTCGGATTAGGGGACCAATCATATCTTAAGGATCAGGGGACATACCAAGTCACCGTAATATTTACTAAATGCGCACATGGTTAATGGAACTTTGCTCTACCACCACTAAATAAGAGAACACTACACCTGAGAAAGAGAAATTCTGGTACCCAGCACTTTTAGATGAGAACGAGAGGCTCTGGCCCATAGGTTCAATGTCGATGGTGTGGCGGTACAAAACACTATCAATCTTCATTTTCATGTCAGGCTATTTACAAGGAGCTGTAAATTTTCCACGCCCTTTCAAAAATCCTATTAAAGGCTCATAGATCCCAATTCAACACAGGACCTTTTAACAGATTTATTCTTTGAATGAAAAATAAGAAATCTATAGGCTGCTGCTAAATGGAACACACTGTCGTCCAGATGACAACTATTTTTTAATGTTTATCCTAGAGGCTCAGGGGCCCACCTGGTATGAGTGGGGCCCTCAGACTCCACTATGAACAGAAAATGTCATCCATCTCATGACAGAATGATACTCTGGACTCTCTGAGCCCATCAATACACCAACAATTGTCTTAGAAACTGCCTCTTGGTACAAGGAATAATTTTACAAATTAATGTTCATCTGGCTCTGATGTGCTTGAGTAATGCTCTGTAGCTTCCAACCCCAGGAGCCTCTTAAAAATCAAATGTCAGCCGGGGCGCCTGGGTGGCTTAGTCAGTTAAGCGTCCGACTTTCTCTTAGGTCATGATCTCGCGGTTCGTGGATTCGAGCCCCGTGTCGGGCTCTGTGCTGACTGCCAGCTCGGAGCCTGGAGCCTGTTTCAGTCTGTGACTCCCTCTCTCTCTGACCCTCCCCTGCTCACACTGTCTCTCTCTCTTTCTCTCTCTCTCCTAGAAATAAATAAAACATTTTTTAAAAAAATCAAATGTTAGCCTCATGAGACTACCTTTGGAAGGATCATTTTCAAATTAAAATGGCAAGTTTCTATGCTGATCACTCCACAGATCTGCTCCAGAAGCCAGGGCAATAGTTTGCCTCCCTTTCTCCCCAATCCCAACAAATAAATCACTGTGGAGCAAACAGTCTCGACCTTGAAAGATCAAAACCCCTCTATATTTTATGAGCACCCTCATCAATCTACAAATGTTCCATAGGTTGTCCAAAGGGAGCTCAGCTCTGTGGCACTCTCTCCACCACGTGAGAATTCACAACACACGGCATGTGCTCCGTAATGCTCCCCTGGCTCCCACACGATTTCCATGAGCCCCCCGGGGCTCACAACGCTGGGGTAAAAACCACAATCATTCTGGCCCCATCTGTCTGTGAGAGCCAAAACTGCACAAAAGCAGTAAGTCAGAGTAGATCTTCAGCAAATCAGGAAAGCAGAAGACACACATGCTTTCCTTATTTTTTTTTTAATTTTTTAATGTTTTTTATTTATTTCTGAGAGACAGAGATAGCGTGAGCAAGAGAGGGTCAGAGAGAGAGGGAGATACAGAATCAGAAGTAGGCTCCAGGCTCTGAGCTGTCAGCACAGACCCCAACGCAGGGCTCGAACCCACGAACCCTGAGATCATGACCTGAGCCGAAGTCGGACACTTAACTGACTGAGCCACCCAGGCGCCCCCCCTTATTTTTTTTTAAGATGGATAATGAATAAACAGGGGACTCACAGTTAAAAAGAAGAAAAATAAGTAAGTCCACCATCAACTTGAGCAGAATGTGAAAAATCTTTCTATGACCCAACACTGTCCTCTAGAGGCCACATCTAATCCATTCTTTTGTGCAAAAAGATGTAGAAGCAATGGCATAAAAACAATGCAATTATATAATAATTCTTTTAATTTTTTTTTTTTTTGAGAGAGAGAGACAGAGCACAAGCGGGGGTAGGGGCAGATAGAGAGGAGGAGACACAGAACCCAAAGCAGGCTCCAGGCTCCAAGCTGTCAGCACAGAGCCTGACACAGGGCTTGAACCAACGAACTGCAAAATCATGACCTGAGCCTAAGTCAGATGCTAACTGACTGAGCCACACACGTGCCCCAATTATATGATAATTCTTAATACATAGTATTAATAAAGTGCTTTGGACTAGAAACTGTTTTGTATTAGAAAAGGTCGTTAAGCATTTAAAAGCCCTTTTTATTTTAGAATAGTTTTAGATTTAGAGAAAAGTTGTAAAGATAGTACACAGTTCCCATACACCCCCAGCCAGTTTCCCCTATTGTTAACCCTTCCATTTCTATGGTACAGTGCTAGTTGGTTCATTGTCACAATTAATGAAGTGATATTAATACATTAGTATTCACTAAACTCTATGCTTTATTTGGATTCCATTTGTTTTTCTAAAACTCATTTTTATTTTTTTCTTATTTTTAAACGTTTAATTTTGAGAGAGAGAGCATGAGCAGGGAAGAGGTGAAGAGGGAGAGGGGGATGGGGCTCAAACTCTCGAACTGTGAGATCATGACCTCAGCTAAAGTTGGATGCTCAACTGACGGAGCCACCCAGGCGCCCCTAAAAGTCATTTTGAAAATATGATATATTTCTCTATCATAAAAAAGAAACCATATGAGAAGGGCAGAATCTGGAAGCATGAATGAGGAGAGGGAAGACTAAGATGTGGTTCTGTTATTTCTGGTGCAGGGCAAGCTAGTTAACTTTTTGAGGCCGTAAGATAGGACAAAAATATTATGTTCTAGAAATGTTATGCAATAATGGCTCAAAGGTTATTTAGAACCACATATTAAAATGCCATTAAGATTTAATAGAAATATATCAAATATCAAATTATATATGTGTGGGGGGAGTATAGAACGAGGATACATCCATAGATATAGGGAGAGGCAGAGAGAGGTTGAGTTGTATCCTCCCCAAATTCCTATGCTGGAGTCCTAACCCCCATACCTCAGAATGTGATTTATGTGGAGAGAGGGTATTTAAAGAGGTAATCAAGCTAAATTGACCTGTTGTCCTTATAAAAATGGGAAATTTAAACACAGAGACATGCACACAGGGAGAATGCCATGTGAACCTGAAGACAGCCATCTCCAAGCCACAGAGAAAGGCCTGGAACAGATCCTTCCCTCACAGAGACCAGAAGGAACCAACGCAGCCCATGCCTTGACTTGTAGGTCTAACCTGCAGGACTGTTGGATAAATTCCTGTTATTTAAGCCACTGCTTGTGGTACTCTGTCCTGGTAACCCTACCAAACGTATACACACACACACACACACACACACACACACACACATATACGTATATACATATATACACACATACATATTCTAAGTATGCATGACACACTGTAACCCAAAGACTTTGAATCACTACCAAGCTTAAGTTCCTACAATTACCAACTGGAGATTAACAACGCAGATATTCGAAATTCAGAACTGATTTTTACAGAGTTGATATGGAGCAAATAACACAGCCCAGACCTACTTTCTCCAAGAGAAAACTCAATGAAGTGACTTATAATGAAGAGAACTCAAGAAAGACCCCCCACATGGAGGAGACATATTGGAAAAAACTAGGAATTCATTGCCATTTCTTCACTCCAAGCAAAGGCATACTGGGGAAACTTACTTCTCTATTGGGTAGTTTCTTTAAAAAATAAATAAATAAATGTTGCCTTTCTCATGGAAGAATATCACAATATATTCCCCTTGTTAGACCAAAGAGAGTTTCAAACATTCTGACTAATATGCCCCTTCCTGTCCTCACCTGTAAAGGGCATGTGGCATGTTTACCTCACACAGTTGCTCCGAAGTTTACATGAGACGACATGAGGTGTTCTGTGAACTGTGAGTCTCTCTTTTTTTTAATTTATTTAATTTATTTATTTTGAGAGAGAGAGAGTGTGAGCAGGGGAGGGGCAGTGAGAGAGGAAGAGAGAATCTTAAGCAGGCTCTGCATGGTCAACAAGGAGCCCAATGTGGAGGCTCGAACCCACGAACCAGGAGATCATGACCTGAGCCGAAACCAAGAGTCAGATGCCCAGCTGACTGAGCGGCCCAGGAGCCCCAGCTGTGAGTCTCTTGTTGTGAGTATGACGATTCAATCAAGAGTGCGCACACATCTGGGTCTATATCGTGCAACGCCACCTCCTCCTAAAAGCAGCAATGTCTGGTGCCGAAATCTCAAGCACATGCTCCCCACCCACCAAACGGATCTAGCTTGTCCATACAGGAGGGGGACCTGCCTCCACCTGTAAATGCCACGTGGTGAGTGGCGAGGACGTGCTCCATAGCCAGGCATATCCTGTGCCTCGTGCCGGGCCCCGGCCCCCCCTAGAGGACAGGGCATGTGCTCCCTTCTGCTGTCTCCTTCTGTGCCTCTGTGGACCGACTGGCAGGACAGGGGAGCGTCAC